AACTATTATGATCTGTCAAATTCCAACGGAATACTTAGAACAGATCCAGAGAAAAACTTACCATTAAACTCCTCTTTCTCAGACACAATCCAACGCCCATCAAATGCCTCATCGAACGACTCGTAAAATTTCTACAATCAAACAACGAATTCTCAGCCAACGCATCACATGTACCATTAACATGATCCAGTAGACACACTATTGCGAAAACAAACACGATCACAAATGCAATTAGAGATATACATCTTACCACATCCGAAGAAGCGCAGAGTTGAGAGACGAAGCAACCGGCCAATAATAACAATGCATACTGCGTCCACATCCTCCGATTCCGCTCTTCCATAACCAAATATGGAATACTCACTGAAGAAAAAAATAGCAGAGATCTGAATAGGTATAGAAGAAGAGGAGAAAACAGAGTGAAATTTGCGGGGAGGAGAAATTCAGAGTATAAATAAATGTGGCGACCAGTACGGGTAGTTCATAACTCGTGAAGTGGACCAATGAATATATGCCACGTTGGTAGCCGCGACTTCAACGAACACCCGCAGGGGAAGTTGGATCTACGACTGGGATAGTTTTGTGTACACTTCGAATTTGGTGGCTCTAATTTTTTTTCATTATTTCATCAACTATATAATGTTTTATTTTATATTGCTACGTAATTTCATCGAAAGTTTATGTCATGATATTCAGAAACCAGTCAAACCACACATACCATTTTATGGTTTATCCATCTATTTGGTTCGAATTTCATCTTATACAGTCATAAATACCTTATTAGATATGCAAACTTTTCTAATACTCAACTTTTAGTTTTCAAATCCAAATAAATTGAATTTAATGTTTTAATTCATCTGATAGTTGCTAACTGGCTATGGGGCTCCATAAGATTCTTCCAACTTCCAAACCATTTGAGGGTTCAAAGTGTTGGGTAAAAGAAGTGGACGGTGCAAACTGCTTGCAATCTATAAAGAGAAAAGCATTTGGACATGATTTCAAGTGGTGATTTGAAATTGAATATTTAGTTGGACGTAAAAATGAATTTTTTAAGTTGTATCTTTTCTATAAACATAAAAGTTCATGTGATAATTATTTAAAATATTCTCAATTATTATACAATCTTATCATATGAGTAAATTATCATTCATAAATAAGGTATTGAAATATTCTAAAATGTCATATCCGTAAATTGCATATTTCGATGTTTCTGTTATAAATAAATGTTTGTGATCATTTGTTATTATAAACTCTCTAATACACATAATTTTACAAAGATCAAATAGTCAGTAATAGTACTAATTAGTTATTCTTCAATATAATCTTTTCAAATGATACGAACAATTCTTTTGCAAACTTTGGAATCCTACCTTTTAGAAAATTTGAAATTCAAAATCATGATTTAAATTGAAGCTTAGATTTTAAGCAGATTTGATAAGCAAAACCTTATGCAAACACCTACTTATATTAATAAAAATAAAATACTCTACTTTTGTGAAGACTGCTAAGGCTACAACTGTTTTCCCCTCTTAACATTTTCCACACTTTAATTGTATTCTTTAACTTGCACCTTTTGAGAAGGCACATTCCACCTCTCTCCACTTGTCAGCTAACTTTGGCCCCCGAAATTCCAAATGGTATTTTCTTTAATCTTTTGCTTTTTCTCCACATGGAGAGTGGATAGATTTCCTTGTCTTTTAAGTAAATAAAATCTCAAAAATATGTGTTTGAAAGAGACGACACACATTTGTTTCATGTGGTGGATAAACAGGAGGACCTAATATATATAAACATAATAATTCTAGGAGAGTGACCCTTCTAGAATTGTCATTTCTCTACCATGGTGAGGAAGTATTGGGTTCCACAACTCCACTATCCATACATATAGTCTTCTTGAGCCCAAAAGAAACCATCATCTCAAACTAAGACACACAAAAAAGATGTGGCGAAAGAAGAGAAAGAAGAATATGACAAAATCAAGGATGACAATGAAAACAAGTACCCCTTTAATGCATCTAATCTAAGTGGATGTCAACGACTCACAGGCAAGTCATTGAAGCAAAGGGAAGGTTATGCCATTCTTCCAGATCTTTTTTTTCTTTGTTGTGTTTTGGGTTTATGTTTTTCATATACATTCAAAAGTTGGGCTGGACTTTGAAGTTTCACTGTATATGTAGTGTATGCTTGTTTTGGGTTGAAGTTCTCTTAATAGAGTGATTCTTGTTACCTTATCGTGTCGATGTATGCTGTCATCCTGTTCTCCCCAATTCCACTACTTTCTTGGCACACTTTACCAATAAACAAGTTATAAAGAACGTGTTTGAATCTTACAAGAGACTCAAAGCATGTTTACACAAGGGAAACTAAGAGCCATGTATTTCAACAAAATCAGAATAAGATGCAGCTCTAGCATTAAACATCAAAACCAACACATGAATGAGCAAACATGGAGTAGAAGATTAATTACTTCAAAATGTGTCAAGACTAACAAGATGGACAATATTATAGTCAAAATGCCATCAAAAAAAGTACTGAGCAAAGGAAAAGTTTTCTTGACCAACTCATTCTTTAAAAACCTAGTTTAAAATATATCATAGCTTAAAAGCACCTCTAGCAAGTATCAACCCAAGACCATCATATCCTTCTCTTTAACCCTAAAAGAGCATCCTTCAGTAAGTTTTGCGCGGCCACCACTTGGCTGGCATAGCACTTGCTGGCAATTGGGGCATGTAACCACAGTTTGCGAGTGGCTGAAAATTGTTGTTCTGTAAGAATAAGATAAAATTATTAGTACATAAGTAGTAACACGCTTGTAAAAATGAGGATATTAACCACTAATTTTCAGTTACTTACATTTGGAAGCAGCCTTGGCATTTGACATCCTGCGACAGTATATAAACGTTAAACAAGCAAGGCAAGGAATCATATAATGTTAATACATATATCAAAGGAAATCTAAAATATCAGTGATTGATAGTAGATTACCAGAAAAGTAGAATTAGGTGATTGGACCAAACGCTTAAGCTTGTGATTTTGCTTCTCAAGCTCAGCAGGAGGGTGAAGCAAGTCAGTGTCATTTGAAATCTTTGGAATACCCTGATAAAGCCACAGGAAAAGAACATGAAACCACAATTGCCAACTAACCCAATGTCAAAATCTTGAAGAATTTCAAGAGGTCACTCACCATATTGTCTTGAAGCTTTTGTACGATCACAGATGTTGCAAGTTGCTGTCGATCAAATGAAAGCAGAAACTAAGAAAATTAAGAGATCGTACCAAAACATTCATAAAAGAAATTGCAGTAGGTAATAGAGGGGGGCCAGGATCAGCAAGTCATGTCTTCGAGAAACAAACCCAATTAAAAGACATTGCACATTCATCAATAAAATCAGGCATCAGTTATGAATCTTTTACATCAATTTACCTATATTCTAGCCCATTCCATGATAAAATGGAACCCCTTGCCCTTAGTTGGACACACTCTGCACTTTGATGCCGCACCCTTGTTGGATTCACCAAAAATACACTATTTTGGCGAATCCACAAAAAATACACTATTTTGGCAAATCCGACACGCACCCATTGGCAATTGCCTTCCCACAAATCATAAAACTATGAATTCTTCAGATCTCACTATGGATATATAACCCTTCTGGTATGAATAGTTCATCCATATAAGCATGCACACTCAATTGTCAATGCACGGCATGCCCAAGTGAGTACATGTACCAACAGATTCAGTCCTCATAGGCTTACAAGGCTTATAAAAATAAAAGCTGAAACTTATTTGCCTAATTCTGCACATTAATGTAGTTAATGACCAAGGTTTCAATACTCATTTTTCTTTCCCCTCAAACAACAATTTATCACAAACATGGGGATCTTTCTAAGGTACAAACATAGACTGGCTCCCCAAAAATATTGCATTATAAATGTATTCTGCTTACACATTTACATAAATTTTAAACCTAGGGATCAATGAACAATACACTGATAGATTAAACAAATAAACAACAACATATCCACCTAGTGTAATCCTTATAGAATTGGGGTTCGGATAGACAATCGGCTCAAATATACATATAGATTCATATTTTCTAATAATCACGCATGCAAAGTATAAGATTAAAGCAATACAATTCTAAGAGATGATCAGAAAACGAGAGTTACCTCCAATAAAAAAAACCCTAAGGTCTGTTCCTTCTTTGCCTCTGTGAGGTAGAATAGGCTAAATTTATACTAGCTTTCGCCTATTGGGCCTCTAAAGAAAGTCTGAAAAATTTTCGGCCCAACAATAATAAATATAGTAAGTAAATATTCTCAATTAATTAATTTATTTTAGTGAGTAAAAGTAAAATAAGCAAAAAAAACTCCTATAACGTATGCAACTCTTGTCCAATCCAAACTGCAAGAAAATATACCCCAGCACGATGAATCATTATTATTTTTATTTATTTGGAGAAAAAAAAAGTATTTTAGTTTTTGCGAAAAAATGAAAAAAGTATTTGAGTAGCTTTTCACTGTTTTGTAAAACTAGAAACTTCACTATAAAGTTTTTATTTGAGAGACTGTTCATAAAGATTAAAAACTTCTCATAAAATGCATGTTCGTAATTCATCAGATAAAATATGTCCCAAAAGAAAAAGGTTTAGTCTTTAATTTATTTGCAGTTGCACTTGAGCCGAGGGTTTTTCAAACTGCATCTCTACTGCCATGAAGTAGTGGTAAGGTTTGTGTGCACTCTATCCTCTCTAGACCGTGAATCGCACATTTTGTTGTTTCTTGAATTTACCAGCACTAATGCGTTGATTAACACGTGTTTGTAGAACTAGAATATTAAATAGGATTATTTTAAGTCTTAGGATCATATTAAATAGATGATTGTACAACTTACTTTACACTTGAGCATTAGAGGTTAGTTTTTCTTGAGTTACAATTACCATTATTATTACAATTGTTTTATTTGCATCAAGGCCTGCATAAAGTAAGGGCAGAGAACATAAAGAGTTGAATCTTACTTGCATATAATCTATATAGCAAAAACCTTAAAGGTCTGCACCTCACTGTATTCATTTAACATTTACTTGGCAAAAAGTGTAGAATGGATATTCCTATAACTCAGACATACATTGTAAAAGAGGACTATTCTCAGTTGCCAACGTAGTCATTTGTCAGTTGAATCTACAAGAGAAAACTCTATAACTATAACCCCCGCCGATATCGAATGGGGAGTCAAAAATCAGGTGTATGATTTTGATAATCATATCACCAATGAGCTAAATTTATCTTATTTAATGTCACATTATCATCATCATCTTCTTCATCAGCCTCAGCATCAGCAGTTTGAACCTTAGATCTGTTGCTGACTCTATGTCAGCTAATCAAGATCTAGACTCTTTTTCATTGATTCGTATACAAGATAGGTTATGCTTGCTGCTGGCACAACTTTTAAAAGATTTGGAAAAAGTCCTTTGTAGAATCCCCTGAAGCCTTCACGCTGAACTGTTTTTCGGAACACATCAGCCATACCTTTGTATGCAGAATCAGCTTGCATTCTAGCAAGAATACAATTTAGAGTAAAAAAAACGGCATGTCACATGATAAACCAGAAAGCTACACCATCCAAATAGAAGGGGAAGAAAATGGCAATTGTTTGGATCCAAGAATCAAACTGCAGGTTTACCTGGTCCGAATAACCTGTAAAGGATAAACACATGTCGCTCCCAGGGCTCCTGAAATTGTCCCACACCCCAGTTGCACAAGAGGGCCGGCTTCTGCATTACATGCACAATTCGTAGGAAATTAGTTTTCATTGTCTTGGAGAAAACAGGTAGTAACAGTTGAGAAAGCACAAGTTAAAGCTGTACCACTATCATGAAGAATGTAAACCTTTGACAAATCCTTTAAAGTTTCATATGCAGCTAAATCAATGCCTGCATAAGGGATGATTCCAAGTAGAGATGGTACCAATCCTCTATAAAATGCCCGAGGTCCCTCTTGTATAAAAATATCTTTCGATAGTTTTCGCAGACTAGGAACACTTCCACTCTCACATGAATGAGTCTGTAACCGAGTTTTAACAAGATCCATGGGATAGATAGCAGTTTGTGCTATTGCACCTGCCATTCCACCAGCCATAAGACGCCCAGAAGTTCCTATGTCTCTCTGGTCTTCAACACCCCTGGCACGACCAATAGCATTTTTCAAGGTTTCATATGCGTAAAACTTAATTGCACTTTCTGGTGCAACCTTCAACACATTTAACCCATTGCCACGGAAAAACCCCAATAGACCACCTTCCTTCCATATGCTTTTGACTGCAGGACCAATTGAAGCATGAGTTGTTTGCACTTGTAAAATGACCTTAAGGCGATCAAGAGGTGCTGTGGCAGTACGAGAAGCAGCTCCTGCAACTCCCCCTGCAATCAGGTATTTGGATGCATGAACATGCTTACTGATGCCTTCCGGAATGACTGTCTGCTCCCCAATATCTACAAGACATACCCTCTCCAAGTATTGGTAAATATTCTCAATGGTGGCCTCATGTGGATAGAGTAGAAGAAAATCTCTCCATTCCTCAAAAGTGATAATTCCATTATTATCCTTGTCCACGTGTTCCACAAACCGTGCAAGTTCATCATCATCTAATTCTATTCCTGCAAGAAAGAAACTGCCCTAGCTTATAAGAGGAAGAAAACTAAAAAACATGAAAATGAGCATGGTGAACTCCTCTAGCCAGAAACAAAATTAGATTCCAAGAGATGGGAATCATAAAGCAAATAATTGAGTGATAACAGAGGAGAAATTAGTATGTAGATAATAAATGGATAATCCAATTTGAATTTGTTATGCAAACTCATTAATGGGCCATCGTTTTGGCACCTTTATTTAGTAAGCATGAAATTGAAAAAAGGTACTTTTCCTGCAGACAGAGAAAAAGGGACCAGGAGAGCAAGGGAACTTAATACTGATGGGGAAGCCAAAATAAACTGAAAGGCCCTAAAAATTTGTGTCAACAATTTACCAAAGGCAACGAGTAGAGGAAAGAGCATATAATTATTTTCCAAGTGCCCATATTTAGATTCTAGAAAAGAATAAAATTAATTAAAGTACAAAGTATCAACAGTGTCACACACATAGCTAATTATCATGAAGCAACATTACTGAATCTGTAGCATTAAAGGAAAACAGAGAAAAAAAGAAAAATGGACAAAAAGAAGAAAAATAATTATAACGGGAAAGCACCATCTGAAGGACTTAATTGTCAGGCACCTTACCCTATTTCTTGCATGAGAAATCTCTCAATTTCCCACAATTAGTCGGGAAGCTCATATGTGGTGGTAATAGTGAAGGTACATACAACTCAATTCGTACTGTACAACACGAACATAAGCCCCATTTGCGTTGAATTTTTTTTAGGTCATCTTGTTTGGTTAAGAAATAATCTTAGGTTTTTAAAACAACCCAAAAAGCTTTTCAACAAACAAAATTAAACTACGTAGAGTTTCATTATTTTAAAAAAACAACTGAAGCAAAGTATAGATGTAGGCACAACAACCAGTTGGAAATAAGTTTCAATCTTTATTTGTGCGCTGACAGTAGTCCCATATTTATCAAATGTCAGTTTGTTTAGAGATTTGTGAGTCAGTTCGGAATAAGCATGAGAGTAAAAGAATCTCGAGTATATGAGAACAGAGACAAATTATTAAGTTTTTTTTTTTTTTGATGAAGTGAGATTTCATTAAGGCATCCAGTAGATGCAAAGATACAAAAGGGGGGATCTGACAGCTCAGTAAGAGCAAAAAACTTATAGAGCTAAGAGCTGACAAAGTCCAGGCAGTGATCTAAGTTATTTACAGGGGAAAAGTTGGCCCAACTAAAAAGGTTAACCAAACGAACGAGCCTTAAGCTTACAATTGGAGTCAACACTCCATCGAAATATCTCCTGTTTCTTTCATTCCAAATAACCCAAAAAATACAAGCTGGGGTCATGATCCATATTTTCCTGATGGATTTTTAATTTCCATAGAGCTCCAACTAGTGTAGGCATCTCTGATA